CCCGAATATAAGCCCCCGAATATAAGCCCCCGGAATATAAGTCCCCCAATTAATATAAGCCCAGTAATCGCTGCTTAATACACGTTTATTTCCCTGTTTATGACTGACTTGTTTATGTCTGACTTATTTATTACTAACGCAAAAGATCGTCCATATACTGTATAACCCCACCCGTATATAAGCCCCCCCCTCCCTTGTATAAGCCCATCAAAAATCGCTTACGAAAGTATATAAGCCCAGGGCTTATAGTCGTATGTTTACGGTAAGCCGTTTTCTGCGTCCCGATATCATGCACTTTCATTAAATATATCTTGGAACTGAAATATTTTACGGGAACTAGCACGTTGAAGCACAACAATTCCCGCCCAGTAGACCCCCAGTTTTCTCACAAACTGCTATTTTATCTTGGCTATTTTCACAACAATTTTTTTTATTGTTCAACGATACGGATCGATGACACCACACGATTGTATCAATCAAAACGACCAATTTCTATTAACCAGTCTTCCTTTTAACAAAAGACCGTTTTTCTTGAATCATTTTGAGTGATGTAATCTTATGCGTGTTGGGCGTAAACAACATATCTTGTCTACAACTTTGAGAAGGTACAGATAACGCCTTCTAAAATCCTCAGTTCTAGCGATACATATCTCGTTAAAATCACAAGGAAGTTAATGCTACGTCTTTTGACTATGTCACGGGCTTGAAAAATAACTATGTTAACGCGATCAAGCTATTTAAAACAAAAGTAATGCGAAGCCAACGCAACGGCAAAGACAACGTTAAAATAAAATATTGTCGACTGGTTGCTGGTAGTAGATTTACGACAGGATCAATCTTAAATAACCTTAAACTAGAAGAATAAATGTTAACATCAAAGACATTCTTTGTTAACGTTTCTCCCAGGCTACAGTTCTTAGAAGAGGGTCTTAATGGGGGTCTTTGGGTGTCAGTTGTCAGCTAAAATGTAAGCAGTTGTCAGTTGTCAGTGCGATATATTGCAAGCTGTCAGTAGTCAATTACTGCAAAATGCTGACTCATCATTTTTTCATCATTTCTCAGTTGTCAGTTACGATATTTTGTCAGTTGTCAGTCAAAAATTCAGGCAAATATCAGTAGCCAGTTAACCCCATTCAGACTCTATTAGAAGAACTATAGAATTGTTATTCGCTTGATGTTATTCGCTTGAACGGCATTATCAGTTTATGATCAGCGATTGAAATGAATATAACTGGATCGCTACCTCCAACCGTAAATTTGACGCCAAACTTGAAGACCAGTCCCAATCTTTTCATGCAAGCAAGGAGCGCGGTTAATCCTTCAACGACGCCGACGAATATGTATTGTTGAAAAATTAGTTAGTTATTGAGCTCATGGGAATCATTGCAATGTTAACGCCGCATTGCCTGTTAATCAATCAGCCTATCGTCAGTTTCATTCTACGGAAACTGCCCTTCTCAAAGTACAAAGTGATATCCTTAGTAACATGGATAATCAAGAGGTTGTACTACTTGTGATGCTTCATCTCAGCGCGGCTTTTGACATCATTGACCATAGGATTTTGTTGGATATTCTCGAAAAAGATTTTGGTGTGATTGGTAATGCTATGAAGTGGTTCATGTCCTTTCTCTTTGAAAGAAAACAGCGTGTTGTTATCGATCATTGCAAGTCATCTGCTTTTGACGTGTCGACTGGTGTTCTCCAAGGCAGTTGCTTGGGTCCGGTCCTATTCATGCATTATGTTTCAGGCCTGTCTAAAGTTACAGGTATATCTAAACACCTTCCCAGGGATCACGCCTTTGCTGATGATACACGTCAACTGTATCTTTCTTTTAAACCAGATCCTGATAACTATAATCAGGAAGCAGCAGTACGAGCTATGGAAGATTGCGTTGATGATATTCGTACCTGGATGGTTCACCATCGTCTTTTTATTCAAAGTAGTAAGACTGAGTTTATTATAATTGGTTCTCGACACCAACTGATCAAGCTGTCCATTGATAAACTACGAGTGAGTGACGTGTACGTTTCTCCGGTGAACACAGTCAATAATCTTGGTTCATGGTTCGATATGCATATGTCGATGGACATCCACGTTGGCAAGGTCTGCAGCAAGGCTTTTTGGAGTCTTTATCATATTAAACATATTAGAAAGTACTTAACCGAGGATTCCACGAAAATCTTGGTTCAAGCATTCATTACGTCCCACATCGATTATTGTAATTTGCTGCTTTATGGGATTCCAAAATATCAACTCGATCGGCTACAAAGAGTACTTAATGCGGCTGCTCTCGTGTTGTTTGTCTTATACCGAAATTTGATCACATTACACCAACATTGATGAAACTTCACTGGTTGCCTGTAAAACACCGCGTGTTATTTAAGATTCTTCTTATCGTTTACAAGGCGCTCCATGGGTTAGCTGCTAAATATACTTGTGATTTGTTAACACCTAAACAGGACTGTTGTTATTCGTTGAGATCCGATATGCAAGGTCTCCTTGAAGTGCCGTATACTCGCGGGAAAACATCGGGCGATCGTGCTTTTGTGAGAGCTGGCCCTTTTCTGTGGAACTCGCTCCCACTTGACATTCGTGCTTCGTCTTCGGTTGACTGTTTCAAGAGACATCTTAAAACATTTCTTTTTAGAGATCCGTACATTAGTAGTGTTTTTCATATAGAACATTTTTAAGTTTTAATTAACTGTGAATAATGTGTAAATATAGTCGAAATTAATTTTACGATTTTATATCTCACTGTTTGTACCTAGCGCTTTAGAATATTTTTAGTTTAAGCGCTATATAAATTTTATAATATTATATTATATTAATATATTATATTATGTCATTGCGCGTGTTCTATTTAAGAAATAGAAAACATTTTCCGTGTTTCTATAGAGTTTTAGAAACACGCGTGGAAGTTTGGGAGAAACGAGAATTTCCATGGGAACACGAGCAAGAAGTGCGAGTGTTTCCACGCAATTTCGAGTTTCTTCCAAACTTGCACAAGTGTTACTATAAATTCTATGGGAACACTGAAAAAATGTTTTCTATTTCCTTTATTAAATAGCCTTTTAAAAACAATAAAAAAGATAAATTTATTGATTTTAATTACATTCATTCACATATTAATTCTATCTTAATATACGTTGGGAGTTAGGTAACATCGAGTTGGATTTGAGTTCGAGTTTGACCTCTAGTTGAACTTCGAGTTAACCTTCGAGTTGGATATTTTTCTTTACTTTTCGGGAGAATGACATTGTACTTCACCCAATTTTGCACAAATAGATCACAGGCGGCATCTTTTGGAATTTGCTACTGCACGTTCATTGTTCGAACCTTTTTTGCTGCGGAGCGAGCGAGTCTGAAGCGAATTTACACATATTAGGGAATTATATCTTAAACCATTGTTTACCGCAGCTGTAGGCCTACATTGCGCTCGTGCGTGATCGGAAATGCTCAGTAAGCTTTTCGTCGGTTGTGTTTCCACAACACCTTGTGGTAATTTTGAGTTACAGATTACAGTTACAGATATTGCACAGCACACTCCCTATCAGAGTTTTTCAGTGACTGGTTACATCAGGACCGGAACTGGCGTGAAGCAGACCGAGGTAGACTGTGAGCTTACAAAATGACGCTTTATTAGGCAGCCGCTATTAGTCCGTACCTCATTTAATGATCTGCCCCCTGACCTGACATGGTTTCCGCACAATTTTGAAATGTTATTATAATAAATCTTTTTACAGAGATACCTTTTCCATATCATGTACTTCATTGTTTGTATTCTTAATTCGAAACAAAA